TTCTCTGGTAGCGCTTCAGATTGCAAAAAAAACGAAAAGCCATGTACGATTGGAGAAGAATTAATTAAGCCTTGCCTGTTACAAGCCTGCGAAGAGGTTTTGGGAAAACAGGCTGTCCAGAAACTGAAAGCAATTCCTATGTCCGCTACCGCTGTCAAGCGCAGAATTGAACGCATGGCTGAAGATACTGAAAATCAAGTTATAAAAATGGTGGGGGAAAAAATCACCATTTTATGCAGTCCAACTTGATGAAGCAACAGACCTAAGTAACAAGGCCCTTCCCCTTTGTTTTGTGAGGATTGAGTGTGAAGGAGAGTTGCAGGAAGAGCTATTTTGTTCGCTCGACTTGCCGGGTAGAACAACTAGCTCTGAGATTTTTGAAGCACTGAATAGTTTATTTCCTGGAACATGGAATTGACTGGGAAAAAAATGGATTGGGATATGTACAGACGTTGCCGCAAACACGACTGGACATCTTTCAGGAATTGTTGCAAAGGTGAAAAATGTTGGCCACCCAGACATTTTGCCTACGCACTGCGTTATACATCGTGAGGAACTTGTGACGAAAAAAATGTCCCCAGAACTACACGAAGTATTATCAGATGTTGTTAAAATTGTAAATGAAATTCGACACAAAGCGCTCAATTCTCGAATGTTTGAGGCACTTTGGGGAGAAATGGGCTCCGAGTATACTCACCTTCTGCACGCTGAGGTGAGATGGCTTGTCAAGGGGCAAAATACTAACCCGACTGTTCGCCCTGCGCGAAGAAGTCAGATTATTTTTCTACCAGCAAAATAATCCAAAATTTCAAGAACTCTTGTCCAACGATGAGTGGGTAGCCAAGCTTGCATACCTGGCAGATATTTTTTCGCTGTTAAATGAACTAAACATATCTTTGCAAGGACAACTTAAGGACGTGTTCACACTACGAGGTAAAACGGATGCTTTTCAAAAGAAAATATTACTGTGGCAAACGCAATTGGCTGGAGAAGATCTGTAGATGTTTTCAAATTTTGATGAACATGAGAGAGAAGGATGTGTTTGTTATAGACTGCATTACCTGAGGCATAAACCGCGTAAGAAATTCCCTCAGTTATTCTTGCGAGCTGCCAAGTTTGTCATGGCAAAATGGAGGAAAACCATCAAATATCTTTCACTACATCAGCAATGCCTAAAAATAAGAAGGAATTTGGGCCTTGGGGGGGGGGGGGGAAACCGGAACCCAGGGCTTCGAAAATGCCATAATGTATTAGCTCAGTTCTGGCATATTTCAGCCTATTTTAAGATTTCCCCCTATTCAAGGTTCTCGTCTGTACAAACGTCATACCGGGCAGAAAACTTGGTTTAAAATTGGTCGGAGATGCTCATTCGTTAAGTGAGGTTTTGCCCTATTTTACGACTTTTCTTGCCACATTTGTTAAGCGAGTCGCTGGGGTTGTTCAGGGAATCTGGCTTGCCCAACGGACTTTGCCAGTCAGGTCTCAAAAAGGGACCACCGATTCAATAGGAATCGGTTGTCAAGCATCCGAGTGTAAATCGTGTGACCATGGGGAAGCTGCAAAATGGTCGTAAGTGTGATAAATGGTCATCAGTCCCTTTTTTCAGCGCCGTTGTATCTTCGAACGGCCACTAAGCGAAGGGCTGTGAGTCAAGGACTACCTGTAACACGATTAAGAGTCGCCCAATGAGAAAAAGGGAATTTTTAAAGCATTTCCTGCACTGTGCTGTTTTGGGCAACTGAGCATATATACCAATGGATGGCTAACCTTTTTGCCATCGCGTGCCAAAATGGGAGGAGTGCGGGGTGGTTGTGCACATGCATGTCCACACCCATAATTCTACAAACCCTGCCCCCTCCCGTGCATGTGCATGCGCGCCCCCCCCCCGTGCTCCCCCCGCTTTTGCATGTAATGGCACGGTGGGCCCGGTAGGCCTGTTTTTCACCCTCCGCAGGCTCCAGAGGCTTTCTAGGAGCCTGGGGAGGGCAAAAACAGTCTTCCCCTCCCCAGAGGCCCGAAACAGTCCATTTGCCAACTTCCGGTGGTCTCAGAAGGCCCGAAAATCAGCTGGCCAGCACGCGCATGCATGCTGGAGTTCAGCTACGGCAATGCTCGTGTGCCCACAAATATGATTCCGCGTGGCACCTGTGGCATGTGTGCCACCATAGGCATCACCATCACAGATATATATATCTGTATCAGCGTAGAATTTCGCCTTCATTTCAGAACAATCCGGAATCTCATTTAACAAGATCCTTGTGAATCTGCCCTACGGATTGCTAATGATCCTGTCCAGCTTTCTGCAAGTTTACTGGGCATCTTCTCAACACATCCTTCTGGGGGGGGGGGTCTCTCCCCCCCCCAACCCCAATTGGAGATTTGCTCTGTGTAGGAGGGGAATGGTGGGTGGGGGTGGGAAGGGAAGCCTTGTTTCACTTGCCTGGGGCAGCCTCCCACAATACTATCACACTAACCATAACCACCGCACTGCTCAGACTTTGGACACACGGAGTGTATATCCAACGGCAGAGAGACAAAATAGAATGAAGGAGGTTTATTCATTTACAAGAAAGGTGAGGAATGATGGTTACACATTTTCATGGAGCTAAGCTTGTCAAGCAGCAAAACTCAAGTCAGCTGGAACCCTCAAAGCCAAAGTCCTACTCAAAAGACCTGGGAGGAGTCTTCCCTTCCAAAACTAGCAGTTCCTCTTCCCCAGATACGTCATTCCATCATTTATCCATCATGTATAAAGTGGTCCAGATGCCAGGCTGCCAACTCCCCTTTCCCTATTCTTCTTCTTCTTCACTGAATTGGGTTAATTGTCTTACTGAGCGAGTGAAACTCCCGAGCGTCCTGCCGCTGAAGAAATGCCTCGTATTGTTTTTAGACCGGTGTTTCTCAGCCTTGGTGACTTTAAGATGACTCATTCTGGGAGTTGAAGTCCGAATACAATAGAATAGAGTACAGTAGAGCAGAGTAGAATAGAGGGTAGGGTAGGGTAGGGTAAAGTAGAGTAGAATAGAATAGGAATAGGAATAGGAATATGGAAGGGACTTTGGAGGTTTTCTAGTCCAGCCCCCTGCTCATGCAGGAGAACCTATACCATCTCAGACAAATGACTGTCCGGAGATGAGTGACTCTCCTGTGTCTTAAATTCATCAAGACTGAGAAACATTGCTTTGGTTCCAATTCAGTTGTCTTCACTTTATTTAGATTCCTGGCCTTGGCATGGATATATCCTAATGACAGTGGCAATCAATTCTGATGGCTTAGCATCTTTCCAATTTTCCATTATCTCTGCATTTCTTACATTGGCTAGGCATGACAATGGATTACATTTAAGAAATTAATATCTTGGAACTGGCCTTAACTTATGAATGCACGATATTTGAGCTCAAGTCAGTTAAGGCACCCTCAGCACGACAAATCGAGTTATTAATTTCTTATATATACTATTGTCAATTATAAGAATGCTAGTCTATTAGTCCTGCTAGTATATTAGTCTACTCTGTGACCCCACTCCATATAGAAATGTATCCCTCTGGGTTAATGTACAGCCGCTGACAAAACTAGTGCTAACTCATAGTTTGCTTAGTCAACTGTAATGAATAAACTGCCATTAGCTGCATTCATATCAGACATCAAATTTTAAACTGTCATTTATAAACAAGTGCCAACAATTGCGTTTTGGTTTAATGTGCGATATGGAAGCCAGCTGCTTAAGGAATCAGATTCCCTGCCTGTGGAAAGACCGTAATGCTTTGCTGACCATGGAGGACCATGCTGGTCCCAAGAGAAAATAGACCGCCATCAACAAATGTATGCTGGCTTATGCCGTAACCAGAGTTTGAGCAAGCCACGGGGGGTCCTATGAACACATTCTAAGCCAACACAGCTGGATTCATAGAAAGTCAGAGTCACACCGCATTGAGACACGTGGCGTATAAATTTAATAAATAAAAGTCACGGCAACAGTGAAGCTGCAACACAACGCAAAGCCAGAAGCAACCGAAACATCTGGATTTTTAAGAGCAGGCTCCGGAGAGGCGATCGGTTGGACTTCCTTTCTTCAAATACAGCCGTGTGCAGGGCTAAGCTGCTGTTGGTCACGGTTCTTTTCACCCACAGAGGAGAGTTGGACTACATGGCCTCAAGGGACCTCTCCACATTCTGAGTCAATGAAGGACCCTCCTGGCCAAAAACAGTTCAAACAACACATTGATCCCCGACTGAATTATTTATCCCGACTTCCCAAGATTTGCACGGTTGACCCATAAACTGATTGCAGAGACCAGGCTCAATATGGATGTTTGGGGGGTCATTAAGCCCAAACCCCCAGGGTTGGCTCTGAAGCCTGGAAAAGCCTCAGTGGCTGGCTTAGCTAAATTAATGAAGTCAACTATGTAGGGGAAAGGGGTTCATTTAGGACCTCTTAGGATATGAACCAGAACTTTATGGCCACGGTGAGAGCAAATGGTGGCCCAAGCCATGCAAATCATAGTTACTGTACTGACTGCCCTCCCACGGATACCATCAGCTCCACAGAGCGTCAGGCAGTAGCATCCAAACTGAAGCCCCCCCTCTCCCCTCCTTGAAAGGGAACGGAAAGAGCCTACAGGGCCTGCCAACCATTAATCACGGCTCACAAACTACAAGAGGTACCTTAGCGTAGTATGCCAACTGAAAACAAACTATACAACGCACGGATGTGAGGTGACTGTCCAGTTCATACAACATGCCAAGGCATAATGTGGTTTGGGTATTTTATTTTTTTTTAATCTGCCAGCGTTAAGCACAGTTTAGGCTTAAAAAGAACCCCCCCCCCCCCCCCCCGTGCTCATCGAAAACCAAAAGAAAAAAGCTTGGATGAGATTTCTTTTTCAGGAATCTAATCTGCTTTTCTTCTCCTTCCCCCCCCCCCCCCCCCGCCGAAAGTTTTCCCAGGCGCAAGGACCTGTTTTTCAGGAAAAAAAAAAAAACGGCACGCACCGAGGCTATTTGGTTTGGCAATCTTTATATATCCACAATACAGAATAACCATGCACAAAATCCGAGGGGGGTTATTTACAAGGGGAATTGCACTTAACAAAGAATCTGCAGGAAGCCATGAAAGTTGGGGGGCGGGGGGGGGGAGAGAAAAAAAAAAGCCACATACAAACACAACATCCCTCGGACTCCTCCGTCCCCCGACCACCTCCGGAGATTCAACAGGCCCCAGGAGGCTTCAAAACCAGGCGAGGGAAGAAATTTCATATCCTTGCCAGAGTTTCGCCAGCACTCGGTGGCTGATTCCAAGCCCCGGTGTTTTTGAGGTGGGGAGAGAGAGAGAGAGAGGCAGAGCCCATGTGCCATGCCCCAAGCCAGAACGGCCACACTGTCCTTCTTTAGACCCCTTGTCTAAAGGTTGTGGTTTTTCCCAGAGAGGGAGAAGGAGAAACCTCTCTCTCTCTAAGCTTGGGTGCTGCTGAAGACAGAGATGCCTCAAAGGGGTTTGGTCTCCCCGTTGCCAAGTGCCAAAGATCCTTATAGCAGCCTTCCTCGCTTGCAAGGCAGCCAAGGGAGGTGAGGGGGTGGGGTGGGGGAGCAGGCCATCTATGCACAGGAGGGGAACGGGGCCTGGACGTTCAGCCCTGCCCAGGTTTCTTCTCCTCTTCCTTGGCCCCAAGGGTCTTCAGCCCCTAGGGTGCCAGCAGCAGGAGGGGCAACAGCAAGTCAAAGAAGCGAGGAGCAGAGAAGAAGAGCCAACTTGGGCCAAGGCTAAGGAGCAACAAAAGAGAATTGGAGGCATCCATGTTCCTCCTGTTCAACTTAGTTAGGCTGCTGTCCAGAGCTGTTATTTCGAACGCAAACACATAAGTGTATGGACTGATAACTTGCCCACCTCGCAAGGACTGCTTGAGGTTCTACAAATTGGGGAGGGGGGCATTTCTTCCAACACTTCCTGTTCTGCTTCCCTCCCTCCCTTCATCCTTACAGAAGCTGGGTTTTTTTTTTTTTTCCTTTCCATGAAATTATTCCTCGGTTCCTTTTGAGAGAAATGCCTCCAGAACCAAAGACCAAAAACGAAAGGGGGCGGGAGCGTCATTTCAGATTGACTGGGAAGGGAGGAATCCGGCCGCTCTTTCCAAAGCTAGATTTGGGTGCAATTTAAGGGGGAGCAGAGGGTCCGAGAAACAGGACAGCCTTTAAATTTTGACGGAGATTTGATTTACTAGGACAATTTTTCAGGGTCTGGGGTCCAACACGGGAAAGGAGATTCAGGTCCTATAATGAGTAGACCAGGATCACTTGAAGGAAGGCCATGCTGGGCAGCTACCCATCCAAATACAGCCTGGAAGAGGAGATCCAAACCGACCCCCACCCCCCCACCCGCCTGTAACGTGGGTGGCTGTTTGCTTATTCCCAGGGAACTAAATTTGCTCCGCTGGTTATATAACAGCTGAATCTGCACCCTGGACTGCCGTAAGTCAGAGGAAATGCCTCAGAACGTGCGGATGTGACAGAAAAAAGGCCACCGAGACGACAGCAACCGGCGCCAGCCAGAAGCGCCTCGCATGCAACGCTTCCCAAAAAACACAAAACGGTTCAGAAATAACCGAAATAAGGAAGGAGGCCCGAGCAGCCAGAACTTCCATCAAAACAAACCGCCTCTCCGAGCCACGGTGACGTCGATTTTTGTGGCTTTGGGGCAGACGGCAGCATCCCTTCGGCATCCGAAGAGGGATAAAATGGCCAGGCTCCAAAAGAAATGCTCTTGTTTTCCTGCATGCCTTCTGACTCAGCAAACCCCACTCGGAAAGCAGGCTGCCAAGCCCAGGGAAAGGCCAACTCCATTCCGGAGATCAGCTGGCAGGGGAACAACAGCTTCCTTCCTTCCTTCCCAGGCTTCCCTTAAAGGGCTTTTCTCAATAGATCAGAGGTTAAAACATTCCAGCTGCAAAATGGGCCTTTTAAAAAATTTGTTAACTGGCAAAATATATATATATATATATGTGCCGTTTGAGATCTAGGCAAGGGAGTCAGAGGAGTGTCGAAATTACCCTCCAAAGTAACTTTTGTCCAACCAGGAAAAAAGAAGCTAATGGCAGCTGTCCTGTTCTCATGAATATGCCCCAAATAAATGGGGCAAGACCAAAATTCTGCTGGCAAAACACATGCACAGTGCGGCTACCTCCCCAGCAATAACTGCCTCTTGGCCAGAGGCTGCTGTGATTATTTAGAAATCCCAGCTCCATCAGCTGTTTTCATCCTCCCTTCAAAAGCTGAACAGCAAATTTTTTTAAAAAAAAAATAATTAGCGGAATCAGGTTCGGTGGAATCAAGATCCTTTCTTGCAAATGATGCTTTGCCAGCAAATATTATAATTAGGGGTACACAATGTTTTTACCTTGCCCAATGTTAGATTTTCAGTGCACCAGATGTATCTGGGTGGGGGGACGAACCTAAATCCTCAAGGGAATAAGAGGAGAGAGAAGGTAAGATAGATGGATGGAGGGAGGGAGCGAGGGAGGGAGGAGTGAATAGAGAGGCCTGCATATTAAGATAAGAAATAAACCGCAAGTGACCTAAAAGGAGATAATACAAACTCCAAGATGCTCAAACTGTTACAAAACAGAAGAAAAGGAGCTATCAAGTATCTGATTCTCTAAAACTATTCCCTTGAACAATCTTACCAGTGCAAGTTATGTACATGGCATGAAAAATATTGCTTCACACTCAATCTGAAGGGGAGGGGGAGGGGAACAGGAGGGGAGGGGAGGGACTACCTGGGGAAGAAAGCGACATGCAGGCATGGAATCTCGGAGATACATGAGGAAGCATTCCTATAGTAAAAAAAAGGGGATCCGGAAAGCCTTCGGCTGGTACTTTATATATTAAATTTTGTTAGTGTCATGCCAGAGTGACTTCTCCAAGCTGGTTCTCAGGACGTGCGCGCAGCTCCGGTGGGGGCTCGGGAGAAGGCCGAGATCACTGCGCACAGACAGACTTCATTGTCCCAAACTGAAAGCAGGGATGGGGGGGCAAGGGGGAGAGATCCAAGAGAAAGAAGTGGGCTGGTCTGAGAGCAAATAAAACGAGGAAAGCTATGCTCCCAAAAGCCACTTGCACTTGAGACCCGAGAGAGGAAGGCGAACGAGTCACGGAGCCATCGATGCGTTTCCAGGTGTGAGTGTGCAGCGTACACGCCCACAGGACAGAAAACCGCCCGCCAAGGCGATCTTTTCTGAGAAGCCAGAAAAGAGTGGATTCTCCTTGATTTAAGAGTTCTTCTGTGCCTGCCAAGCAGCCTGAATGGCGACAAAAAAACAACGAAAACGCGCTCTTGCCCTCAAGCACCCATCCTTTCCGTTCTTCTAAATGAGGCCCACACGAGCGAGCACGCACACACAAGAGAACATTTCCTGGCTCGTGGTGGGATTTCAAAGACAGCCCCCCTCCCACCTCCCCCCAGCATTACATTCATCACCAGTCACAGGGAAGGGGAGGTTAGCCCTCTTTTGAGAATGCTCTAAAACGGAAGGGAGGAAAGGGGGGTCAGCAAAGGGCAAGGACTGAGGAAATGCGCACGCGTCTCCGGCTGAAGAACAGACCGAGGAGGAGGAGGACGGGCAGCGGCCGAGGGAGGTCACAGGTTCTGGCAGCACTGGAGTTTATTGGATTTCTGTCCGTCGGTGGTGGGAGGCACGCTGATGTCCACCACGTTGTTTCCCGGAGACTCGTCGTGGGCAGACCGGTCTGCGATCTGTTTCTGGGACACGATGCGATAAATTTCTGCAAAGGAGAGTGACTCTGATGAGGACACAGAGTTCTTATGGGCCCATAAGCAATTGGTGAAGACGCCACGGTGAGGGTGACCCACCCCATAACATGCAGGCTGGGATGACACGATCCCGGGTTACGGAAATATACGGTTGGATCCAGCATGCTGCGAGATTTAATCACCTGCTCAGCATTTGCTGTGACCCAGTCACCCGAGTTGTGCTCCTGGTTCAGCCCCCAGAGGTCTGGAGGTGGAGGATGAGGAAGAGGAGGAACAGCTGGGTCCAGTGCCTGACGTGCGGATGCACAGAAGGCAGAGGAGAGGAGAGCAGCGGAAATCTATGGGCCGGTCCTTGGGACAGAAGAGCCACCACTACTAGTGAAGCCCCACCTTAGCTCTGGGGATAAAAGGCAGGGGCCGGAGATGAATAGGTGTGGCAGACAACTATTCATCTCCCTGCCGGAAGGACTTGTTAGCCTGCTATCAGAGAGACAGACTTTCTGCCGGGGCTGCTGGTGCTCCTAATAAAGGAATCATAGAGGGCTTGTTGTGTTTGGGAGCTGGGTCAAAACAAAGAGACCCTAAGCAGGAAGAACCCAAACTGCAAAAAACCAGGGTTAGGTTCACTGTTGCTAAGGTGGCCCCCCCACTCCTAGGCTACTAGACTGGAGGCCACATGAGGGCAGGTTGACGCCTTCAAGGATGATGGGCCTCAGGGATCGCACTGCCAACACTGCAACGGAGTCAAGCAGCATGAGCAGGGATGTTGCCGTAGCACAAAGCTCTTGGCTCCCTGGAGTCCACGGCTTCAACCACAGGATCTCACAGGTGTTTACCTCCAGCGCAGCCGCCTCTGAAAGCCACTCAGGCTTCTTGGATACCGACTGCCACCCTGCTTCCCTGCCCTGGGTTTGGTGCTCCCAAGGGGAGTTTCCTCCTGAGAGGGCAGCGCCACCATCTGGGCCCACCCAACAAAAGGTGGAAGCCAGGGGCCCTAAGCATCTGGTTCCCTGGGATTAAGGCTGAGGAGCAGGAGGATGGAACTGGTTTCAGATACTGACTCTACTTTCCTGTGAGTGGTTCCCACACCTGCCTCAACAGCTGTGTATAGAAAGCAGCAGTAACCCAAGGCACCACTCTCCCCCTACTCCAGGGGTGGACCATTAATTTTCCCAAGAAACCGGGGCTGCTACGGAAGGTCCCCAACATTGCCAACTCTCTGCCCCCCCCCCCATGACAGGTGCCACTTGAACTACAATTACATGACCAGAGGGAAGCTGCAACGGCAATAAGAACAAGGTCCAGCTATAAGTCAATAGCACTTAGACCTACGTACCGCTTCACGGTGCTTTATAGCCCGCTCTAAGCAGCTTACAGAGTCAGCCTCTGGCCCCCAACAATTTGGCTCATTTAGCGACTTCAGAAGGATAGAAAGCTGAGTCAACCTGGAGCCGGTCAGGATCAAACTCCTGGCTGTGGGCAGAGTCACCCTGCAATATTGCATTCTAACCACTATGCCACCATGGCTCTTAATGTTGAACAGTCACTAAACAATCAGTCATAAGTCAATCAAATGTTAAGAATCATTCTCCACTTAACACATGCTTGATGTTCCATTTGGATTTAAGACACGTTCTCCTCTTTCTCCCATTATACTAAATGGAGGGTTAATTTGGTTTTTGAAAATCTAGTATAGCAAATCAACTCTATCCTTCAGTATCTAGTTTTCTACTTGCCATTTAGTTGGACCGGGAGCTGATCCTAAACATTTGCGTGAATCGTATTTTATCCAACGGAAGAGAGAACGTTGTAAACAAGATGTAATGAGGCTAAACTTGGCAAGAAGCACACTCTAGGCCTGGATGCCATTCAAGTCTCAATCGGGCAGCACCTTCTTGAGAAGACCTCATTCCAACAAGCCCACCCTACAAACCGCCACTCAATTCCTTCCCTGTCAATCAATTAGGCCTTTGCCAGATGGAGATGAGTGACAGGAACCACAATATACAATCACCAAATTCAAACTCTGGTACCCAAGCGGGACAGCGGCCGCACCTGAAGGGCAGAGGAGAGTTTGGGTTCCTTTACCTGTAAGGATGTTCTTGAAGGCTTCTTCTACATTTGTTGAGTCAAGTGCTGAAGTTTCAATGAACGAGAGATTGTTTTTTTTCTGCAAGACAAAAAGAGTTAAAATATCATTTCAACCTTAATGGCTACTTTGTGCATAGAGGAGCACTCAAACTGGGGAAGGCTGGTTTAATGGTTAACAGGATTTTCCCCTAAAAGATTAGTTACTGAAGGGAAAATTAATTCTAGTCTGGATTATACATAACCAGCATGACCAGCTGGGTTTAGCACCTAGTCTGATGCCTCTCTTCCAATCCAGGAGAGGACCAGACAGTTCTATTTCTTCAGTTTTAAACAAAGAAGAGTTGATGTTTGTAGCTAGCTTTGATTGTGAAGAACAAAGTTTCATCATGTTTTCAAACTGGCTTAGTTTTGCTAAAGCGAAGAAGAATCAAAATTTGTTCAAGTCAAACTGGAACACGAGAAGCGTTTTACTTATTAAACCTGGCTGCCCAACTCACACAGAGGTGACTCCAGGTGGCCTGTAATGTTTTAAAATCTTACAGCAGAAAAACCCATAAAACCCACCCCCATTTTAGCCCATGGGGCTCAGTGCGATTTGACACAGTGACGTTCAATCAGCTTTCCACACTCTGCCCCCGGATTCATAACTTAAACTACAATTATAATAAGTCTCAACCACCATGGCATAAAGATCGAGGCTGAATTTGAGGCAAGAGTGTCTAACCCATTTTGTCCCATAATGGCCATTGTAACTTTGAAGGATTGCAGAGTGTGATGCTGCCTCCTGGAAGGGTCAACACAAAAGCGTACTTATTCTAAAATAAGTAACAAGTTCGGCAAGTTCAACGCAGTATTTTGTTTATGCTCAAGAGCCTTTGGCGTTTCCAACTTCCTGCTTAGAGTTTCTTCTCATGATCATTTGTAGTTTAGTTGCCTTGTGCATGTGGACTGTTACAATGCATTGTACATGGGGCTGCCCTCGGAGACCACTTGGAAGCTACAGCTGGTCCAGAATGCAGCAATGGGCCAAAGGATGCTTGGGGAATTCCCTGGTTTTCCAGGGGCAGCAGGGTGCAGTCGTTCCTGAACAGTGGATGCTATCGTTCCTGAGAGTTCTCTTGCTAGGGACATATTCTTATTCTAGACCCGTGATGACGAACCGGTGGCACACGGAGTCATATCTGTGGGCACCTGAGCATTGCCCTAGCTCAGCTCCAGTGCACTGATTTTCATGAAATCAGCGCTCCTGGCCAGCTGATTTTCGGGGCTTCTGGGCACACTGAAAGTTTGGAAATGGGCTGTTTTCGGCCTCTGGAGGGCCTCCGGGGGGGGGAGGCCAATTTTGCCCTCCCCAGGCTCCTAGAAAGCCTCTGGAGCCTGGGGAGAGTGAAAAACGGGCCTTCCAATCCCACCAAAAGTTGGGAAATGGGCTATTTCCGGCCTCTGGAGGGTTTCCGGGGGCATGGGGAAGTCCATTTTTGCCCTCGCCTCTGGAGTCTGGGGGGGTCGCGGATGCATGCGCAGGGGGGCGGAGTACATTGAATTATGGGTGTGGGCATGCACGTGCGCCTCCCCCCCCCGCACTCCTCCTGGTTTTGGCACACCACGGCAAAAAGGTTAGCCATCACTGTGCTAGACTTTACTGCAGCAAATGCACTTTGGATGCTTCAAAATCCCTGCAATGCTGCAGCAATTTGCACAAAGCTTTTGTAAGGCATGCAAGGTGTGGGTTGTTTTTTTTTTCCTTCCTGAGATTTCAAAAAATCTCTGAGCACGTTTTTAGAGAGCAACCTGTCCTGCTTTGACATTATGTATGTTGACAGCAGCAAGACTATTGTATGCCCCAAAATGGAAGAAGACTTCGATTCCCACCATGGGCAAATGATTGCAGGTGTTGATGGGAGTTGGCTGAAATGGCAAAATTGAGTATTTTGATTAAGGAAAAAAATATAAGTGCTTTTGTTTCCACATGGAGACCAGACTGCTTCTGAACTTTGTGCTTGAGATGGAAAACAATGAAACTTTGATTTGGGTTTTACCGATAGATAGATCTTTATAGAAATGGCTTGTTCATATTATTACGGAAAACCAAAAAGTTGTGGTTTGATGTTAATGCTTTATTTTACTGCAACAGAGTTGGAAGTCAATGTTTGTTCCTTTTTCTTTTTTCCAACCCTTCCTCACTTTTCTTTCCCCCTCTTCCCCCGCATTGCTTTCCTATTTACTTTCGTATTTTGTATTTTGCATATTTTGTACAAAAATGTTAAATTGCTAAAAGAAGCCAACGGGCCAAACCTGCGAAAGCACGGGCCTCGTCCGTCGGCACAGCTCTCAGGTGGCGCAGGTCGCTCTTGTTCCCCACCAACATGATGACAATGTTATTGTCTGCGTGATCCCGCAGCTCCTTCAGCCAACGCTCCACGTTCTCGTAGGTCAGGTGCTTGGCAATGTCATAAACCAGAAGGGCCCCGACGGCACCACGGTAGTAGCTGAAATTATTTTAAAGAGTATTACACAAACTGAAAGCCAAACACTATCACAACCTCTTGACCACAGCACAAACTGCCAAGTGGCCCATTTACAATCTTGTAGCCAAGAGTATTCACCAAATGGGCATCCTAAAATCTTGTAAGAGCATGTCCAGAAAATCCTCCACTTACAACCCTTTGTTTAGGGACGGTTCAAAGTTACAACGGCGCAGGAAAAAAGTGACTTATGACTAGTTTTCACACTTACGACCATTGGAGCATCCCCAAGGTCACATTATCAAAATCCAAAGGCTTGGAAAGTGGCATAGATTTATGACAGTGGCAGTTTCCCAGGGTGATGCGTTCACTTTTTGTGACTTTCTGGCATGCAAAGTCCATGGGGAAGCCAGATACCCTTAACAGCCGTGTTACTAACTGAACTGCGGTGATTCACTTAACAACTGTTTCAGTTCAGCAATGGAAATTTAGGGTTCCCTTATGGTTGTACATCAAGGATGTACAACCATAAGGGAACCCTAAATTTCCATGAATGATCTTAACACCCCACCCACCCACTCCTGTTAGCCACCTACTAGCCGCCGCCCCCCCCCCCAAGCTGCCTTTCAAGCCTTACGCAGAGGTGATGGCACGATAGCGCTCCTGGCCTGCCGTATCCCAGATCTGGGCCTTTATCGTCTTCCCATCCACCTGGATGCTTCTGGTGGCAAACTCCACTCCAATGGTGCTTTTGCTCTCCAGGTTGAATTCATTCCGTGTGAAACGGGATAAGAGGTTACTCTTCCCCACACCGGAGTCTCCAATCAGCACCACTGCCAGGGCAGGAAAAGACAACATTCCATCAGTATTCATTCATTCATCACCTGGAAATGTGAGGAAGGCAGAAAGGAAGGGAGCGAGGGCAAAAGACACCATTGGCAAATTACACACAAAAGGATGGTGTGGTTAAGAGGAAGCCTTCAAACTGTGGTTGATTGTCCTGCTTTTCTGCTCCCTCCTATCACTTTCAATGGCTGATTGCTACCTTTTCTATTCCACTTCTCCTCCGGGCCATCCCAAATTTCCTTCAGTCAAGCTCAATTACTAGGGACTTCCAGGAGATTCCATTTTCTGTTCTTGGCCCCAGTAGAGAAGTGATTTGTGGCTGCCTTTTTCCAGGATACTTCCAACTTTCCATCACTCTGCATTTTTGGTGGTCTCCCATCCAAATACTAATCAGATCCAACTTTGTTTACCCTTTTTGTAAAGATTTCCTGAACTTACTAGATGCTTCCACGCACTTAGACTAGTTCTGTCAATGAAAACTGTAAGGGAAGCTAATTTCTAATGTAACAATATTCTTAGAGCTACCTTATGCATTTGCCTCCCGATACCAGATTTTTGTGCTACTTGGTATGTTGGGAGATCTGGTAAGAACAGTTAGATTGTTCAAGTCTAAAGGACACAGACCACAATGTATGATATCTACGATTTCAAAAGTCACTTTATCTGGACTATGAAGATAACAGAAACTCTTAGAAGTTTCTGAACAGAATAGTCTAACAACAGTGAAAACCTAAACAATGCTTTCATCCATGAAACACACAGGCAGAATTAAAATGCTAAAGATATTTAAACAAAAATAAATACTTGGGAGTAGAAAACTTCCTCAACTTAAGCATAAGCATCAATGGCTATGTCCAATGCAAATGTTTTTAAAAAACTTATCACCCTTTATTATTTTCATAAATAACAACGGAGAACATACCAAATACTTCTTCCTCCTCTTCTTTTCCCCAAACCTACAACCCTGTGAGGTGGGTTGGGCCAAGAGACAGCAACTGACCCAAAATCACCCAGCCGGCTTTCATGGCAAAAGCAGAACTAGAACTCGCCATCTCCTAGTTTTTACCGTAGCTTGGTGCTTTAACCACTAGCCCACTAACCACTAGTACTCCTTGCATTACACTAGTCTGTACAGAAATCCCAGCTTAGCATACAATTATGCTTCCTGCGTCCACTTATTAACTTAGCGGGTAAAAAGATTCATCTTCTCTGAGTTTTGATTTCCCTTTAGTTTCCAACTGTTACTTTCTGTGCCCATTCTCACATTCTATTTGCTTTCTGCCAGTCTCTAGAGACTCTCATCTGGGTCATGGTTGTCCCAGAGATGCTTTTTTTCAAGGGGCAACTGGACTTTCTGGTTTTTCTTGGAAGATGTTTAGCTTCTCATCCAAGAAGCTTCTTCAGCTCTGATTGGATGGTGGGGAATGGAAGGATTTATACTCCTTGCAGACAGCTGGTCCTTTGCATCCTTTTAGAGGATCCTTGAGGCACTTGGAGGTTTAGCTGTGTCCTCAGGGTCACCTGCGTAGTCACTTGCTTTCTACAGTGACTTTCCACAACTTCAACAAATAGATAGCCCTAAAGAGAAGGAAGCAGCAACATCCATCAGCAGCAACATCCAATAAGAACTGATGAAGTTTCTTGGATGAGAAGCGAAACATTTCTTTCTTCTTCTTCCTCAAGGAAAAAAACAGTCCAGTTGCCTTTTTTAAGAAAACAGCAACTTTGAGACACGGGAGTGGGCTGCTCTTCAATTGTGGACCACTTTCACAGGAATCAGCAAACATACCTAAAACACTGGACTCCACGGTCACCTGATATTGGGGCTATAGGAGTGTTTGTCTGTTTTTTTATTTGCTGAATTTCATTACTAGCTTAAGTTACCTCTTCATGCTAACAAAGTTAGAGAACTACAGCTTATATTTGGAGACTGAGATCCATCTATTCTCTAGGTCAGCATCAGCTGACTGACAGTCCAGCTCCATGATGCTAATTGCAACTCAAATGTACCAATAAGGGAGAATATTTGCAGCTCAGGGTTAAAATGAGGGGTCCTTGGTGCTTGTTTTCTTGCAGATGTTTCATTAGTTCATTAGATCTAGTTACAGTAATAAAACGTCCAAAAGAAAGCAAGCAAGCTCAGAGAGCACCAAGGCCCTCTCAACTCAAATGTGATTGGATTATTACTGCACCCCAATGCTGGTAGCCTCTGAATCTCTAGACCCCCAAATACACTCACAGGAAATAATCTGACAATCTCCCACCCCCTCTTTTAAGCCCAGCCAGCTCTAGTGTGAGCATCACATAAGCTTATCAATGGCTCTGTTCTGTTACACATCATGGGACATACGGACACACACACACACACACACAGAGCCAAGAAAGCAAGGGGACAACAAAGACCTACAGAAAGCGTCCATCCCATTTTTGACAGAGAAGACACTCCTGAAAGAATACAGAAGAAGAAGGGTTGGAAGGGACCTTGGAGATCTTCTAGTCCAAGCCCGAGACCATTCTAGACAAAGAGCCATCCAGTCTTTTCTTAAAGGTGAAGAAAACTCACCAATTCTGGAAGCAAGTCCTTCCACTGATTAAAGAAGAGGGTTGCCCAGTATTATTATTAAATTTATAGGCCGCCCATCTCCCTATCAAGCCCCTCTGATTGACTTCCAACATCATAAAATAGCCATATAACACCAACCGAACATTACAAAACATTCGGCACACAGAACATTAAACATTAAAAGGAGGATTGACAGAGCTGGGTTTCCCCTTCACCTGAAGGGAGCACAGTAGGCGCAACCCCCCACCCAGAAGTCCATTCAGAAGACCACCCACCCATCTTCTGAAATGTAATAATACTAATAATTGCCTACGGAGATTGTCAGCCATCCAGGTCCTGGTTGTCCCAAAGGTGCTTTTTCAGGAGGCAACTGGACTTTCTGGTTTTCTCTTTGAAGACGTTTTGCTTCCCATCCAAGAAGCTTCTTCAGCTGATGAGAAGCGAAACATCTCCAAAGAAAAACCAGAAAGTCCAGTTGCCTCTTGAAAAAGCACCTTTGGGACACTACTAATAATTGTTAACAATTGATACTTTTGACAATATTTTATTCAAATTATGAATGCATGTTCCATAGTTTTATTCTTTTGAACCCTAAGACGCCCAGAATTACAGAGTTATTTTACCCTGTGGCAAGATGGATGGCTAACAAATTTTTTTTTTAAATAATTCATTACATTCATTATTGCCACCGATTCCCAGCGATCCTGGGCAGGTTTGACCCCCGACTGACAGGCCAAAACCCAAAAGAAAAACCTCCTAAACATCTATTCAGATTCAGAAGGCCACCCATCGGCTTCTCAAATCCAATAGCACTAATCATTACTAACAATTTATACTTTTTACACTCTTTTATTCAAATTATATATGCATGTTATATAGTTTTATCCTTTTGAACCACCCACAGTTAGAGAGTTAGTTATTAGTCATCCTGTGGCAAGATGAGCGGCTAACAAATTTAACAAAATAAATAATTTCATTAGATTCATCTTGCCACCGATTCCCCGGCGGGTTTGACCCTCACCCTTCGGGCCAAAACCCAAAGGAAGACCCTCCTAAGCATCCCCATCGGCTTCTCAAATTCAGCAACACTAATTACTAACAATGTATACTTTTTACACTCTTTTATTCGAATTATATATGCCTTTAGTATAGTTTTTTTTTCCAATATCGTAAACCGCCCAGAATTACAAACTTTACCCTGTGGCCAGATGGGCAGCTATTACATTGCATAAAATAAAATAGTAATTCATTAGATTCACCTTCCCACCGATTGATTCCCTGGTGGGTTCTTTGATCCCCCGTCCGGTCAGGCCAAAACCCAAAGGAAGACCCTCCTAAACATCCCCATCGGCTTCTCAAATCCAACAATAACAGTTAATGATTGACAATGTAAACTTTTTTTTACAGGACTATATTCCAATCCTATAGGCATTGGTCTGCCTATACAGCCAAACATCCACACAACTTGGTCTGTTGTGTGGATGTTTGGGTGGTTTAGGGGTGGGGAATAGTGGTGGGTGGGGGTGTGTTTGGGGATTGTTATGTGTGTTGGACCCGGTCTTTGGGTGTTAAGTGAATTTCGTTATATGGGTATACTGTGTATACACGTACAATGACAATAAAGTAGTTGTTATTATAATTATTAGTTGTTTTGTTGTTGTTGTTGTTGTTATTATTATTATTATTATTATTGGCATAGTTTTATCCTTTTTGAAGACCCTAAAGCCACCCACACAATGAGACACTTTTAATCCCCCCCCCCCCCACCGTGGCCAGACGGGGCGGCTAACAAATTGAATAAAATCAATGAATTCTTCATCAGATTCATTATTGCCATGTTTTTCCCCAGAGACCCTGGGTGGGTTTGATCCCCACCCCCCACCCCCAAATCCACATTGGGGGCAAAAACCCAAAGGAAGAAGCGACCCCTTCCCCCACCGCCCCCCACCCTTATTTTTAAACAGGGCTGCCTTGAAATGGCGTTCCTGGCATTTTCTGCGTTATTTTTGGTTCTTTTATAAGGGGGGGGGGGGGGTTGGGGGGTGTTGGAGAGGGGGGCGGGGGGGGGGGGGCTTCACTGGGGACCCTTCGGCGGGGGAGGGGGGAAGGGCAGGGGGGCTTCCAACCGGCCCTTGCGGAGGGGGAGAGGGGGAAAGGGCGCCCCCTCCTCCCAAAATGGGGAGGGGGGAACGGGGTCTTTGAGGGGGAAGCCTCCCTTTCTTTCAGGCCCCCCCATCCCAATTTCTTTGAAGGGGCCCCGAGAGGCCTGAGCTGAGGCGGGGAGGGGTTCCCGGGGGAGACCCTCAGGAGGGTCGTCTTCTCCCCTCCCCCTCCCTCCCTCGCTCCGTCCTTCCCGCCGCCTCAGGCCCACCTTTGAAGAGATAGTCGTACTCGTCGTCGCGGGTGCCCATGGCGGCGCTGGGCCCGTCCCGCTCGAGGAGGAGGAGGAGGAGGAGAAGGCAGGCCGAGCCAAGGCAGGCCGAGCCGAGCCGGAGCGATCCGCGCCAGCCCTGCCTGACAGGATTTCACTCCCCTCACTCGCTCCCGTCAGGCAGGCGAAGGGCGGGGCCGGCGCGGAGATGACGCCGACGAGGCGAGAGAGAGAGAGAGAGAGAGACAGCCCGCTCCGCTTATCGGAGGCGGCTCTCGCGCCCCGGGAGGCGGGACAAGGCCCTGGCGGGCCCGCCAGTCCTCGGCCAGCGCGAGACGCGGCGGGGACCAATCGGCGGGCCGCAAAGGGCGCGAGGCGGGAGTGGGAGGAGAGAGAGAGAGAGAGAGAGAGAGAGAGAGAGAGAGAGAGAGAGGGTGGAGGGGGCGGGGCCTCTGGCCGTCTGCAGGTTCAAAAAGGAGGCGGGCCCGCCCCCCTCAAGAGAGAGATCTGGATGGATGGATGGATGATTGACAGATAACAGGTGGATGATTAGATCAATAGATAGTACATAATAGATAGAGACGACGGACAGACGGAGAGACATAATGGATGGATAGATCAATATATACATAACAGATGGATGACAGATAGATGATGGATGGGTGGACGACAGATAATAAATGGATTAATAGATGAATATATGCATAACATAATGGATAGAGACAGACAGACAGACAGATCAATATGACAGATAAATAATGGATGGATAAATCAATATATACATAAGAAGATAGATAGATAGATAGATAGATAGATAGACAGACAGATAGACAGATAGATAGACAGACATAGTTAGACAGACGATAGAGATAGATAAGATAGACATAGATAGATAAACATGATATAGATAGAAAGACAGATAATTAGACATGATAGAGATAGACATGATATAGATAGATAAAATTAGACAAGATAGATAGATAGATAGATAGACAGACAGACAGACATGATAAAGATAGATAGATATAGATAGACAGATGATAGAGATAGATAGACAGACATGATATAGATAGAAAGACAGATAATTAGACATGATAGAGATAGACATATATATAGATAAGATAGATAGACTAGATAGATAGATAGACAGACAGACAGACATGATAGAGATAGATAGATATAGTTAGATGATAGAGATAGATAGATAGATAAACATGATATAGATAGAAAGACAGATAATTAGACATGATAGAGATAGACATGATATAGATAGATAAGATAGATAGACAAGATAGATAGATAGACAGACAGACAGACAGACATGATAGAGATAGATAGATATAGATAGTTAGACAGATGATAGAGATAGACATGATAGAGATAGAAAGACAGATAGTTAGACATGATAGAGATAGATAAGATAGACAAGATAGATAGATTATGGATGGGTGGGTAGATGATAGATAAATAGATCAGATAGATAGGACAGACAGATCAATATGACAGATAAATAATGGATGGATAAATCGAGCTGAGGTGGCGCAGTGGTTAGAGTGCAGTACTGCAGCTACTTCAGCAGACTGCTAGTTCAGCAGATCAGCGGATCAAATCTCACCGGCTCAAGGTTGACTCAGCCTTCCGTCCTTCCGAGGTGGGTAAAATGAGGACCCAGATTGTTGGGGGGCAATATGCTATTTAGTAGACTGTCTTTGGTGTAAGCCGCCCACAGTCCTCAGAGAGTGGGCGGCATAGAAATATGAATAATAAATAAATAATAAATCAATATATACATATGATAGATAGACAGATAGATGGTAGAGATAGATAGACAGACAAGATAGATAGATGATAGACAGACAGACAGGTAGACAGAAAAGAGAGACAGAGACAAAAAGGCATGGCCAGGGGAAGGCTGCAACAGTTGTAAGTGTGAAAAGCAGCTGTAAGTCACTTTTTTCTGTGCCAATGTAACTTTGAACAGTCTTTGTGAAATGCCGGCAGGGTGGGGGCAGGGGCCATCCCATCCGGATCTCTGGACATCAGTCACATTCAAGCTGGAATTGGCTCCCTTGGATGCATCTCAGATTCCAACATCTGGAAGTGTTACAGAAAATTGGTGCAAAATTTAAGTATTTAAAGGTGGCTACCGGATGTGGATATAGAAGGGGGAGAAAAGGAAGAATGTATACTTTCGCTAGAAAACTTTTTTTTTACTTTCTTTTTAGTCTAATTGTAGTGGGTGCCTTTTGCTTTTTTGCCTACTTCCTTTGTGGTTTCAATATTTTCAGAACAGAACAGAATAGAATAAAATAGAATCAATCATCTATCTATCTACACATATATACGGATACACACACACACATATAGGTGTAATAAAGCATATGAAGAACAGCTGCAGGATTTGGGTCTGGCTAGAGAAAAGAAGAATTAGGGGTGACATGATAGCAGTATTTCAATATTTGAGGGGCTGCCCTAAAGAAGAGGGGGTCAAATTATACTCCGAAGAACCAGAAGGCAGGACAAGGAACAATGGATGGAAACTAATCAAGGAGAGAAGCATCCTGGAATTAAGGAGAAATTTCCCGACAGTGAGGACAATTAACCAGTGGAACAACTTGCCACCAGAATTCATAGGCCAGTGATGGCAAATCTTTTCAGCACCTAGTGTGCAGCCACCTGGTCTTCAGGTTTCCAGGGCTCCGGCACATGTGAAGATCAGCTGGCCGAACCAGAAGAGCAGCTTGCAATGACACACGTGCCCACAGAGAGGGCTCTTAATGAGACCTCTGGCATGCATGCCATAAGTTCGCCATCACGGTCATAGGCGTCCATCCCTGGATGTTTTTAAGAAGAGACTAGACAGTCATTTGTCTAAAATGGTATAGGTTTTCTGCTTGAGCAGGGGGCTGGACTACACGACCTCCAGGGTCCCTTCCAGATTCGATTCTATTCTGTTCTGTTCTATTCATTTCATTCTCCTATCCTATCCTATCCTATCCTATCCTATCCTATTCTATTCTATTCTTGCTGAGCCTTGGTGGCGCAGCAGACTAAAGCACTGTTAAGTAGCACCAGCTGCCTGCAATTACTACAAGTTCAAATCTCACCAGGCTCAAGGTGGACTCAGCCTTCCATCCTTTCGAGGTGGGTAAAATGAGGACCCGGATTGTGGGGGCAATAAGCTGACTTTGTATAAAAAAAGAACACCACTTAGGGGGCCCCCCTGAAAGCCCTACTAAGGAGGTATATACAAAAGGATGAAGGCTATTGCTTAACGCATTGTAAGCCGCCCTGAGTCTCCGGAGAAGGGCGGCATATAAACCGAACCAATAAATAAATAAATAAATAAAACAATAAATTCTATTCTATTCCTATTCCTATTCCTATTCCTATTCCTATTCCATCCCATCCCATTCGATTCCATTGCATTGCCATTGTATTTATGTATATATGTATGTTTTCTGAGGTTTTCGCGGGTGTTTGTATGTAGGTCTTTGGTTATTCGGGTTTTCTCCCGCGTAAACTTGGAAGTGTCTTGGCGACGTTTCGACGAAGTCTCATTCGTCATCTTCAGGCTGGTGTTTTCGGCTTCGTGCTTCTAGGAGCAATATATGTGTATGTATATATATACACATACACATATATTAATCACTGTCCATTTGGAACACATAGCGGAAAGAGGGAAGTTGAGAGTTCACAAGGCTGATGCTATATGAAAGAAAACTGGGGTGAATCCGGATGGTCTGCTTCGGATGCCACGAAGCCCCCTCCCAGAAGGAAACAAGGAAAACAGGTTGTGGAGAGGATGCGTTGGGTCCCTGATAATTCTGTGGACTCTGCTCAAGCGTCACTTATATGCCACGTCCTGCATAGAAGGGACTGAACTGCCAATGATCTTTTCTGCTGTCCTCACCACTCACTGCAGTGCCTGCCTGCCTGAAGCAGGAATGCTTCCAAACCAGACAGTAATGCAATGTGACAGGATGCTCTCCATCGTCCCTCTATAGAAAGTGGTAAGGACAGAGGGGGGGGGGAGGAAGATGTTTATTTTTAATTCTTTATTTCTTACCTTGCCTTTTGGTGCTTTGGAAAATAGATTGACCCCCCCCCCTCGTCTTCATAGGAGCCCCTCAGATATTGGAAGACTGCTATCATGTTACCCCTAGTCCTTCTTTTCATTGGACTTTTGTTGTTGTTTTGTTAGTTGTGAAGTTGTGTCCGACCCATCGCGACCCCCATGGACCACGTTCCTCCAGGCCTTCCTGTCCTCTACCATCCTCTGGAGTCCATTGAAGTTCACGCCGACTGCTTCAGTGACTCCATCCAGCCACCTCGTTCTCCGTCGTCCCTTTCTTCTTCTTTTGCCCTCCATCCTTCCCAGCATTGGCCTCTTCTCCAGGGAGTCCTTCCTTCTCCTTAGGTGTAAACAATTCCATGACAAAAGAAACTCAAGTTGTGGAAGGTCCACCAGAGGGAGCCATGGCACCCTTGATCCCAAGAAGCGTCTCTTTGCGCCTTTCCAGTTTTCAAGCAGGTTCTAGGAGAGGAGAGGAGAGGAGAAGAATGGAATGGAATGGAATGGAATGGAATGGAATAGAATAGAATAGAATAGAATAGAATAGAATAGAATAGAATAGAATTAGAATAGAATAGAATAGAATAGAATAGAATGAGGAATAGAATAGAATAGAATAGAATAGAATAGAATAGAATAGAATAGAATAAGGAGTAGAGTAGAGTAGAATAGAATAAGGAATAGAGTAGAATAGAATAGAATAGAATAGAATAGAATAGAATAGAATAGAATAGAATAGAATAGAATAAGGAGTAGAGTAGAGTAGAATAGAGAATAAGGAATAGAGTAGAATAGAATAGAATTAGAATAGAATAGAATAGAATAGAATAGAATAGAATAGAATAGAATAGTTGGAAGGGACCCTGGAGGTCTTCTAGTCCAGCCCCCTGCTCAGGCAGGAAACCCTATACCATTTCAGACAAATGTTTGTGAAAGCGTTGGAGCATTCACTACTTCTGAAGGAAAGCTGTTCCACTGGTTAATTGTTCGCACTATCTACTTAATTCCAGGTTGAATCTCTCCTTGATCAGTTTCCATCCATTATTCCTTGTCCGGCCTTCAGGTGCCTTGGAAAATAGCTTGACCCCCTTCCTCCTCTCTGTGGCAACCCCTCAAATATTGGAAGATGCTCTCCTGTCTTCCCTGGTCCTTCTCTTCACTAGACTAGCCAGGCCCAGTTCCTGCAACCGTTCATTGTATGTTTTAGCCTCCAGTTCCCTCATCATCCTGGTTGCTCTTCTCTGCACTCTTTCCAGAGTCTCAACCTCTTTTTTTTACAGCATGGCGACCAAAACTGGACACAGTATTCTAAGTGTGGCCTTACCAAGGCATCAGAGTGTCTACAGGGTTTGCATGACAGCCCAAAATAATTTGCAATTATTTTCATCTCGGTCCCTTGGTCAGTTTGATTTCAGGTCAGTCTAAAGTCCCATCATCAGCGGCTTAATAATAATTAACTGCATTTTCCACCACAGTCCCAGATTTCGCTTGTTAAAATTTAAAAAGGCCTGGAAAGATCATATTTTTCACCCGAGGCTGTTAAGATGTTTTTATGCTGCCATTTTTTTCACGCTTTAAATGGTCAATTGGATGTGATGTGCCTATATGCTGCGAGATAAAAGTCCAGTTTTTAAGAAAAGTCAAGATGACAAGAGCTTGGATGTGTACAAAATATTAACATATTAAGGAGCAAAGCACATTTTGGCTTCATGTATTCTGCAAAGCTAGCCATTAAGACATGGTTGGTAAAACTTAGTAATGTAATCGGCAGGTTGACTTCAATGGGATTTCAGCCGCCTGCAGGCTAATCCTGTAATGTAGCTCTGGCGGCCTGTAATCCTTCCCAGTTAAGAGCTCAACTCAAATTAAACAGATTCATCCATTTCTTTTTATTCCAGTGATGAGTCAGTCAGGAGAGTTCAGCTGAATAAACAAAGTGGCTTTGGATAAAATTGGTTCCTTATTCAGATCCAGCCCCTCAACCCCAACTCTACCATCGGCCCTGGGACTGCAGGATTCAAAGCAAATACAGGTAGACTTCAACTGCTCCATCGCTGGAGGCTTTTAAGAAGAGACTGGACAGCCCGCTGTCTGAAATGGTATAGGGCAGTGATGACGAACCTTTTTGCCAAAGTGGGGGGAGTGCGGGGGATTGCACACGTGTGCCACACCCTTAATTCTATGCGCCCCCCCCCCCCCGCGTGTGCGCACCCCCCCCCTGCACTCCCCCCGCTTTTGGCACACAATGGCACTATGGGCCTGGTAGGCCCATTTTTCACTGTCTCCAGGCTCCAGAGCCTTTCTAGGAGCCTGGGGAGAGTGAAAACGGCCTTCCCCACACCCCCAGAGGCCCTCCAGAGGCCAGAAAAAGCATGTTTCCTGACTTCCGGTAGGCCCAGAAGGCCCGAAAATCAGCTGGCTGGAGCTAAGCTTGCGTGCCCACCAATATGGCCCTGCGTGCCACATGTGTGCCATAGGTTTGCCATCATGGGTATAGGGTTTCCTGCTTGGTTGGGGGGTGGAGGGGTTGGACTAGATGACCTCCAAGGTCCCTTCCAGCTCTATTCCGATTGATTGAAGTGAGGTGTTTCTTGAGTGCTCTGTCACCGGTGGCTTTTAAGAAGAGATTGGACAGCTGTTCGTGTGAATTGGTGTAGGCGGGCCTCCTGCTTGAGCAGGGGGTTGGACTAGATGACCTTGAAGGTCCCTTCCAACTCTTTTATTATTCTGTTACTGTTATTCTGACTTAGGAGCACAACTGAGCCCAACATTTCTGTTGCCAAGTGAGACAATTGAATTTTGCCCCATTTTGCAACCTTGTTGTTAAAAGTTTTGCTTAACTGCAGTTATTAAATTAGTGACATCGTTGTTAAGCGAATCTTAAGCCTTCCCATTGATTTTGTTGGTCAGAATACAAAAGGGGATCACATGCAACCCTCATAAATGCCACTCAGTTGTCAACCCTCCGAATGTAAATCATGGGGTCCAAAATTTCCATTGCTACGCAAGGCAGTTCTTAAATTTTACCCCATTTCACCCCCTTTCTTGCCGCAGCTGTTAAGTGAACCACTGCATTTGTTAAGTGAGTCACACGGTCGTTAAGTGAATCTGGCTTGTCAGAAGGTCGCAAAAGGGGATCACGTGACCCCGGGACACTGTGACCGTCATAAATGTGAGTCAGTGGTCAAGGGTCTGAATTGTGACCATCTGACCACCAGGATGCTGCAACGGTTGTGTAAAAAATGGTCATAAGTCACTTTTTTCAGTGCTGTTGTAACTTCGGACAGTCACTAAATGAACTGTTGTAAGCCAAGGACTACCTGAAGTCCATTCACCTGTGCTTCCCAGAAGTCCACACTGTTACTCGGAGAAAGCAAACTTCCTTACATTGAGAAATTCAATGTTGTGGCCCATCAGCGGCCTGTGCAGTTAGTAGCTGATCCCGACAGCGAGGAGGCTGGTGTGGTGCTGCGCCAGCAGCCTGTGCAGCTAGTGCTCGTGTTGGACAGTGAGGAGGCTGGAGAAGATGTGGTGCCAGAGGCAGGGATACAGCCAGGGCCTTCAGAACCTCCAGAAGCTCCCATAAGTGAAGAGGAAGAAGAGGAGGAGCCTCTTCTCAATGCACGGGTGCGCAGAGCTGCCAAAAGGCAGGAGTGGCTCCTCAGGAGGAGGTCTCCTCGAGAGTAAGGCTTGGGGCTGATTGGCCACTCCCTTAGCCTATTTAAGGATGACAACTGAGGCAATTTGCAGGGAACAACTTCGTTCACTCTCTTTCGCGTCTTGATCTTAGTTTCCTGCAAATTGCTTCTGGGCTTTCTGCCAACCCTAGTAAGATTACGATTATTTATTCTTTGGATTCTTGTAGGCTGTTAAGAAAGTTAAATTAACAGCCTTTGTTTGAAAAAGACTGATTTAATTTAGTAAACTAAGGTTTGTACAGATTTTGTGTGTGCTGCGTTCTTTGGGGTCCGTAGCTGGGGCAGAACATTCAGTGGGAGAAATGCAAAATATGTCTCCTTACCATTTGTCCACATCATTTTGTGGGAACCACTGTTATTATCCAGGGTGGGGTTCCCGGGAGCCCCCCACTCAGGGACCACCCGTTTTCCCTTTCTGGGGCTGCTGATGGGCGAGATGCATCCATCTAGAGCTGTGTTTTGCAATTGCGGCAACTTTTAAGATGGGTGGACTTCAACTCCCAGAATTCCTTAGCTTGCAATGCTTGTTGGGAAATTCTGGGAGTTCACAGATCTTAAAAGTTGTTGAAACACTACAGGTAGTCCTCGACTTACGACCAGAATGCAGGCCAAAAAAAAATTTCTGTTGCTAAGTGAAACATTTGTTAGGTAAACTTTCCCCCCATTTTACAACCCGGTTGTTAAGCGAATCGCTGCAGTTGTTAAGTTAGCAAGACGGTCGTTTAAGTGAATCCGGCTTCCCCACGGACTTGGTTTGTCAGAAGGTCGCAAAAGGGGACGCTGCAACCGTCATAAATATGAGCCAGTGGCCAAGCATCTGAATTTTGATCATGTGGCCATGGGGACGCAGCAATGGTCATAAGCGTGAACATCATCATTTTCTTCAGTGCCGTTGTAACTTCGGTCACTAAATGAACTGTTGTAAGTGGAGGACAAACTGCACTCTACAGCAGTATTTCTCAACCTTGGCCGCTGGACGATGTATGGACTTCAACTCCCAGAATTCCCCAGCTGGGGAATTCTGGGAGTTGAAGTCCACACATCGTCCAGCGGCCAAGGTTGAGAAACACTGCTCTAGACAATTCCTTTCTCGGGATCCTGTCCTCTCGTTCTAGCAAGTGAACAGACTAGATGTCCTTCTGGCCTCTCAGTGCTCAAATCCTGAATTTCAGAGACTTAAAAAGGATCTTTTTCCACGGCGTGTATCATCCACGAGCTTCCGGCCAGGTAGCCCGTATAAACGAGGACCGTCTAGAAAACCTTCACTTTCGTCCCGTATTACCGCCAAAAAAGAATCCGAATGGAAAAGAAAAAAAAAAATATCCCGTCGTTTTTAATGATTATTCATCAAAGCCCAAAAGACACATCACTGACCATAAAGTCTCACACACCTAAGTATAAAAAGATTTTTAAAAAAAAGAAAGCGAAGAGGAAGAAACCAAAATCTCTCGTCTCTTTAACGGCGAGCATCCGAAACACAGTTTTGTAACGTTTACACGACAATATTCACTCGGCGATGGTCCAGTTTTTTTTGTTTTAAAAAAAAACAACGCATTGGGAAAGAGGAGACGAAAAAACACACGTAACACGTAACCACTGACCCCTCCCCCCTCCGGACAACTGTCCTGCGCAAGAGAAACCCAGGAGCATTTTAAGTCAATATGACCTAAAGGAGATCCAAAGAGATGTGGGGGGGGGGGGGCTTAAAATTCAAGGGGTTTGGGGGGGCGCGGAGAAAGAGGCCCCAGCATTGCATGCCCTCCTACCTCGGGGTCACATTTGCAGGGGGGAGTGGTCTCCCCCCCATCTCACCAGCCTCCCCCAGCCCTATAGCTATCTCAATGCCTTTGCACATATATTTTGGGGGGGGCAGAGAGGAAGCCACAGCTGTTTTGCATTTGGAGGGGCACTAAATCAGCGCACAAAGACGTTCCCGCAATCTCAGGAGGCTGAGAGGGGGAGACTCCCAAATTTCTCTGGCCCCACAACCCAGCAGCCTTCCCCCAGGCCCATGCGCTCTTTCCCCAGTTGGCCAGGTTCACCCACCTCCCTTACATAGGAAGGCCCCCCTCCCGGGACCCTCCGATCAATTGCCAGCTGTGGGGCACAGTTGCCCAGGCTCCAGAGACGGAGACCAGCTGCGTCTCGCGGGAACAGGGCTGCGCCCAGTCTCTTGGGGGGAGGGGGGGCTTAGGACACCCGGTCCGGCTCTGCAGGGCGGATCTTCATGGCAGCGGATCGCAGGGGGTAGTAGCGCCCTCTCCAGGTCTTCCAGAAGATGCCTTGCTTTCTCTCGTGCCGCTGCCGTGGGATGGACCGGAAGTATTTGCCGTTCAGGTTGACGTGGCCACAGTAGCTGAACCACCAGCCTCCTGCAAGGAGAAAACAAGCAGAAATCAGGGGTCAGCCAGGCACGTAAGCCGACTTGGGGGGGGGGGAATGCCCTTCCAAGACCCCAACAGGGGAGCACCTCCATCGCTGGACCAGAGGGAAAGATTACAAAGGGAAAGTAAGTCCTCGACTTACGACCTTACGCAACTGAGCTTCAAAATTTCTGCCGTTAAGCGAGACATTTGTTGAGTTTTGCCCTATTTTTACGACCTTTCTTGCCACCGTTGTTAAGCGAGTCACCCCAGTTGCAAAATCAGTAACGAAGTTGTTAAGAGAATCTGGCTTCCCCCTTGACTTCCCCAGAGCCGCCTGGGGAATTCTGGGAGTTGAAGTCCACTCCTTTTAAAGGGGACAGGGTTGAAAAAAACCCCACTTCCGGGTAGAGGTGGGCGTCACAAGCGGTACACCCAGCAACCAGAAATGTGAGCACGGGCGGGCGGGAGGCGTCACAAAACATGGCAATTCGCACGCGCCGTCCACACATGCGTGTGGCATCAAAAACACAGGGATATAGGACGGGATTGCGCCCGGGCGGGTAGGTCGCAACTACCGGTTCGCCTGAATGCGTCCGAACCGCCAACAGCCCCCCCCCGCTTTCGGGGTGTTTGCTCCGTCCGCCTCCACTGACCTGAGAGGTGCTTAGCGCAGTTGGTGTCGCCCTTCAGATCGTGGTCGCGATCCCGCGTGGAGAAAGGCAGCTGGGGGAAATCCCCCATGGCGCTCTCCAGCTCCCCCCGGATGGGTCCCAGGAGGCTGAGGGTGTAAGCCGTCTCCTCCCCGCCCAGCCGGAAGAGGAAGTGGGCTCTCTGAGCGTTGCCTTCCCAGTCTCGCAGCTCGACCAGCAGCTGATAACGCTCCTCCTTCACCATCCGGTGCATCTTCTCCAAGCCTAGCCAGAAATCTCCTAAACAAAACAAAATAAATAAATAACAGAGAGACATGAGAAAAAAAACTTGGTTTGGCAGCTGCTGACAAGACGGATAGCTATGCAGGGAAGTCCTCGACTTACGACCGCAGGGGAGCCGCCCCAAATGTCTGCTCATAAATGAGACATTTGTTGTTAGGTCGAGTTTCGCCCCCGTTACGCGTCCTTTCCTGAGGTTCAGGGAATCGCTGGCGGTGGATAAGTCAAGTCATCTGGTTGTTAAGTGAAACTGGTTTAATTCATGGATTCTGGCTTGCCGGAAGGGGATCGTTTATGACCTCGGGGACATGGCAACGGTCATAAACATGAAGCGTCTGAATTTTGATCACGCGATCGGAGGGTGGGGGGGAGATGCTGCAAAGGTCGCAGCTGTGGAAAAAACCGGTCCTCAGTCTCGTTTTTCAGTGCCGCTGTAACTGAATGGTCACTAAATTAACTGTTATAAACCAAGGACTATCTGTATTGTTAGTCCCCACCAATTTATGACCACAATTGGGCAAGAATTTCCATGGCTTAGCGAGACAGTTGTTAAGTGAATTGCACAGATTTCACGACCCTTTTCTGAGGCGGTTGCTAAGCGAATCACTGCAGTTGTTATGCGAAACACCTGGGTCGCTAAGCGAATCTGGCTCCTTTCAGTAATTTTGCATGTCGGGACAGTCTGGGAAGGGTCCCAAATGGCGATCTCCCATGGCCCCCATCATTGTAAAGACGATGCTGGTTGCCGAACGCCCAAATTTTGATCCTGTGACTGTGGGGAAATGCGGCAATGGTCGTAAGTGTGAGGACCTGTCGCAAGTGTGAGGACCAGCCACAAGTCACTTCTTTCAGCGCCGTCGTAACTTCGAACTGAACTAAATGGATGGTAGTAAGTGGAGAACTGCCAGTTTATCAACGTTTTAACTCGAAAAATAAATTTTGGGAAATCGATGCAGTTAGAAAGCAGCTTCAATGCTTAGAATCGACAAATCTCGGAGCTGCTACTGGATGACTTCCCCAACCTGGTGCCCCCCTCCGTTTGCCAGGGCAGCAGCCTCCTGGCAGGAATTCTGGGGGGGGGAGATTCACTCTATTCACCCACCTGTCAGATTTCCAAAGCCGTCTTTATAAGCGTCCCAGAGTCGGTCAAAATCCACCGAGCCGTCCGAGCGCCTCTGGATCACAGTCCAGCCACCGTCCTCTGCCAACGGAGAGAGCAGGACTAAGGAGCAAGTCCCCGGCTTGGCTTCTGGGCAATTTACCCTGCCCACCCCCCTGGGTGCAAATTCCATCCAATCCCCCCCACCCCCCACTCTGCAAAACACAGACAACCGATTCTCTGATTTGATTGTGGCGTCTTTTAAATGGCTTTTTATTAGAAGCTAGGATCCTAGGGGTGGAAGGGACCTTGGAGGTCTTCTAGTCCAACCCTCTGCTCGAGCAGGAGATCTATCCCATTTCAGACAAACGGTTGTCCAATCTCTTCTTAAGAATCTCCAGTGATGGAGCGCCCACAACTTCTAGTGGCAAGCGGTTCCACTGGTTAACTATTCTCACTATCAGGAACTTCCTCCTTAGTTCTAGGTTGCCTCTCACCTTAATTAGCTTCCATCGTTTAGATACGATCGGCTAAGATAACCTTTATTGTCATTTTTTACTCTGAGCACACTGGCCCACATTAAAAATGAAATTCTGTTGCCTGCTCTCAAAAGAAAATATATACCGTATTTTTCGGCGTATAAGACGCACCTTTTTCCCCCCAAAAAGAGGGTGAAAATCTGGGGGCGTCTTATACTCCGAGAGTGATCCCGCCCAGCTTCTCAAACGGAGGTTTCAGAGGCCGAAAAAAGCATCAGAAAACGAAGCTTCAGAAAAGAAGCCTCCAAACAGAGCTTCAGAGGCTTTTTTTTTCTAAAGCTGTTTCGAAGGCTTTCAGAGACAGGAAAAAAAGTTTTTTTCTGAAATCGAGTTTCAGAAGTTTCACAGGCAGGAAAAAAAGCAAGAAAAAGCAAGGCACAGAGCTCACAACTAAGGAACCTGTTGCTAAAATTCACCTTTGGGAACAGCTGATTGGGGATATTCCGGGAGGCCGATCCACCTGCCAATCAGCTTTTCTCTTATTTTCCTCCCAAAAAACTAAGGAGTGTCTTATACTCCGAAAAATATGGTATATATCTACCCATACACACACTGCTGCATAACATAACACACATATACACATACTATATACATACCAGGGGTGAAATGCTCCCGATTCGGACCGGATCGCCCGATCCAGTAGCAATGGAGGCGGGTGGTTCGGAGAACCGGTAGCAAAAATCCCTGCCGCCCCCAAATTCCCAGCTGAGCCACGCAATCATCAGAGGCTTTTTAAAATTATTTTTAAAAGCATTTTTTCTACAATCTCTTCGGCCGAAAAAATGCTTTTAAAAGTTAAAAAAAAAAAAAAGCCTCTGATGATCGCGCGGCTCAACTGGGATTGTGAGAAGTTTTTAAAAGCATATTTTTACAACCTCTTTGGGGCTGAAGAGGTTGTAGAAAAAATGGTTTTAAAAGTTAATTTTTTTTAAAAAAAGTTGGCCACGCCCACCCAGTCACATTACCACCACCAAGCCACACCCACAGAACTGGTAGTAGCAAATTTTACATTTAACCACTGATACATACATATATATACTTAGACCCATACATATCGTGTAGATAGATAGATAGATAGATAGATAGATAGATAGATAGATAGATAGATAGATAGATAGATATAGATAAATAGATATAGATAGATATGTTTTCTGAGGTTTTTGCGGGTGTTTGTATGTAGGTCTTTGGTTATTCGGGTTTTCTCCCGCGTAAAATTGGAAGTGTCTTGGCGACGTTTCGACGAAGTCTCATTCGTCATCTTCAGGCTGGTGTTTTCGGCTTCGTGCTTCTAGGAGCAATGTGTGATCGCAGCTGTTTCTTCCTTTTAACTGCCAGTGGGGGTGTGAACTGATTGGGTGGGAGCCTGGCTATGTTCTGATTGGGTGGAGGTGTGTTCTGATTGGTTGGGGGCTACATATATATATATATATATATATATATGTATGTATGTATGTATATATGTGTATATGTGTATATATGTATGTACACACACACACACATTCCGTTCCATTCCATCTATTCTATTCCACTCCATTCCATTCCATCCTCTTCTCTTCTCTTCTCTTCTCTTCTCTATTCCATGCTATGCTATTCCTTTCCTATTCCTTCCGCTTTTTTTTTTTTTACAGTGGAAGCATCGCGCAGATATCCCCCACTCTCTTTCCAACTCCAATCAGCCGGCTCCCGGCAGGCTGTACAGAGATTTGAACCCATGACTCTGCACCCCAGCCGAACTTACCCATGTCGCAGAAGACTTTGAAAGCCGTGGCTCCGGGGGGCTGGATCTCAAAGACCCCGCTGTTCTGCTGCCCCTCGAGGAAGAGGTCGTGACAGCCGGCCGGAAGCTCTGCAAGAGAGGGCAGGGAGCATGATCGTCACGATGGAATAACACGCGTGTTACGGAAGCCGGTCTACGGACCGAAGAGATTCACTTGCAAAGGAGGGAGGAGTTGGGGCCAGTTGTGCAGTCCGACAGGACCTTTTATAATAGGCCACAGAATGATACACGATGTGGTCGGCTTCAAGGCTGAAACATTCTTGGCTGGTTTGCTTGTCCTCGACTTATGGCCCGCCATGGAGCCCAGAATTTATTGTTGCTAAGTGGAAAACGTGTTCAGTGAGTTTTGCCCCATTTTACGGGAGCGAATCGCCACGGTTGTTAAATTAGAAACCCCGCCGTTAAGTGAATCGGGCTTCCCCTCCGCGGACTTCGCCTGTCAGGAGGTCGCCAAAGGGGATCAGGTGAGCCTGGGATGCTACCACCGTCATAAGTGCGAATCAGTTGTAAATCACGTTGACCACAGGATGCTGTAAGTGGGAAACGAAGTGTGAAAATTGATCATAAAGTCACTTTTTGTAACTTTGAACGGTTGCTAAGTGAATTGTTATATGACGAGGACTGTAGGTACAAGGCCTTTGCAACTGCAGATATTAAAACCCCAAAAAATCCAGGCCCTGAAAAAGTGAAGCCTGCAATTCTACTCAAGGCCAGAATCCAAATTTAAGCTTTCTCAATGTGACAGTATGAATACATACAGGTAGTCCTTGACTTATAGCCGTTCATTTTAGTGACCGATCAAGGTTACAACAGCACTGGGAAAAAAAAATGACTCATGAAATTTTTTCACACTTATGATCGTCGTAGCCTCCCCATGGTCACATGATCAAAATTCAGATGCTTAGCAACTGATTCGTATTTATGACGGTTGCCATGTCCCCGGAGTCACTGATTTTGCGACCTTCCGACAAGCAAACTCAACAGACAAGCAAACTCCAGATTCACTTAACAACCGAGCTGTTAAGTTAATAACGGCAGCGATTCACTTAACAATTTAGAACGGTCGTAAAATGGGGCAAAACCCACTTAATGACTGTACGGCTTAGCAACGGAAATTTTGGGCTCTATTGCGGTCGTTAGGTCGAGGACGACCTGTACAGAAAGGGAAGATCATAGACTCAACGCTCCTCTTTGTTTTCTTTGAACTGTTCGCGTTGATGAAATATTTTCATTGTTAGAATAAATCGGCTTATTTTGAAAGAAATTTGTTATCAATTTGTTAGCAAATCAAAGGCCAAACTTCAATGTTGCTCATTGACATAATTTTACAGACTCCTTGTATAGTCGTGGTCAAAATTGTGGAAACCTTTTGGGGAAAGAGTATTTTTGAGGTTTGATGGCTAATAACACCACTTTTGGGGGGGAGTTTCAAGAGAATCCTGTTCTACTGCTGGAATAGCCTGGGAAGAGCCCAGACCTTCACCCCATTGAAAATCTATGGAGCCCACTAAAGAAACTGGTTAGTCAGCAATAAAACCCAGTTAACAGAAGCCATCATTCAATCTTGGTTTCACATTAGAACAGCTGCAGAACTCAAAGACTCGGTTCCCTCCACGGGAAGATGTTGTAAGGCCGCAATTCATGCTAAAGGTTACCCAACTAAGGATTAACTGACATGGGGGTCATTTTTGTATATCTCGTTTCATTTTTCTTCTTTATAACTGCTATTTCTAACAGCAAATCCTTCCTAAAAGTTATGGCATCACATGCTTGATTAAAATATCTTTCCACTCATATATATAATTTTATGGTACTACTCCAAAAAAAAAAAGTGGTGTTATTAGCTAGTTTTAGAAAATACACTTTTCCCAAAAGGTTTCCACAATTTTGGCCACTCCTGTATAGTGTGCACAATTAAAAAATTATAATAATTGCTTTTTGAAGCCTCATGGAGCAACGAGGAGGAAACGAGATTCACCGTGTGCTGGAAGCACGGGAGTCCAAAATACAAATTAATGCCCCCACCCTCCCCAGTTTGGGCATCCATGGAAACGCTCCTGATAACACAGCACCTTTAGCTCTTAATTGGTTTCCCGAGATCGATCGATGTACAGAATCATAACTCTGAAGCTCAAACCTCAAAGTTGGAGCTGCGAAATTATTTAATAATTATATATATATATATATATATATATATATATATATTAAATTAAAATATTAATTATTTAACGCCATCCCCACGGAGTGAGATTGAAGATCGCTGGCAATCTGGCGCTAAAGGCATCTTGAGATAAGGAGACAGGCGCTAACGCTGCTCGAAATTTCGTTCAACTGGTTGAACAAACCAGTTATCCGGTTATCGCTCCGTATCAACTCTAGAATCCCTTGTTTATTTATTTATTTATTTATTTGATTTGATTTCTATACCGCCCTACTCCCGAAGGACTCAGGGCGGTGAACAGCCAAAAAATAAAACACATAGATTACAAAATTTAAAAGAACAATATAAAACCACATTAAATAAATTTGGCCCGGAACAAATGAAAACACCCGCAATACTTAAGACAGATTTAAAATTTACAATTTAAAAAGTTAAAAAGGAGAAGTTAGGCCGCACCTGGAATCTTGCACCCAGTTTTGGTCGCCACGATATTAAAAAGAGACGTTGGAAAGAGTGCAGAGAAGAGCAACCAAGGTGATGAGGGGACTGGAGGCTAAAACATATGAAGAACGGTTGCAGGAACTGGGTATATCGACTTCAATGATGGCTAACCTTTTTGCCATCACATGCCAAAAGCAGGGGGAGTACAGGGGGGTCGCGCGCGTGCTGCCCACACCCATAATTCTATGCACCCCACCCTCCCGCGCATGCGTGCATGACCCCCCCGCTCTCCCCATTTTTGGCATGCAATGGCACGGTGGGCCCATTTTTCGCCCTCCCCAGGCTCCAGAGCCTTTCTAGGAGCCTGGGGAGGGTGAAAATGGCCTTCCCCACCGCCCTGAGGCCAGAAACGGCCCATTTGCCAACTTCTGGTGGGACCGGAAGGCCTGTTTTTTGCTCTCCCCAGGCTCCAGGGCCTTTCTAGGAGCCTGGGGAGGACAAAAATGGCCTTCCCCACGCCCTGAGGCCCTCTGGAGGCTGGAAACAGCCTGTTTCCCTACTTCTACTGGGCCCAGAAGGCCCGAAAATGGAGCTGATCTCGCGTGCCCACCAATATGGCTCCACGTGCCACCTGTGGCACGCGTGCCATAGGTTCGCCATCACGGGTCTAGTTTAATGAAAAGAAGGACGAAGGGTGACATGAGAGCAGCCTTCCAATATCTCAGGGGCTGCCCCAAAGAAGAGGGGGTTCAATTTATTTTCCAAAGCACCGGAAGGCCGGAGAAGAAACAAGGGATGGAAACTAATCAAAGAGGGAAGCAACCTGGAATTAAGGAGGAATTTCCTGAAAGTTAGAACTATTAACCAGTGGAACTGCTTGCCACCAGAAGTTGTGGGTGCTCCAACACTGGAGGCTTTTAAGAAGAGACTGGACAGCCACTTGTCTGAAATGGTGTAGGGTTTCCTGCCTGAGCAGGGGGTTGGACTAGAAGACCTCCAAGGTCCCTGCCAATCCTGTTAAATCAGTTCAGAGGGATTCGTCCCCCCCCCACCCCCCATTGAATGGGCGGAAGGATTTCCTAGAGGCCTTGTGGCCTGGGCTGACAAAACAATCTGGCTTCCAATCGAACAGGGTTGGCATTCTGACACAGCGGAGAAGCCAGGAGGGGGGATCCAGCCCAAAGGCATTAAGGGAGAGCCACAAAATGGAGGAAACGGAGGAGGGCACTCAATGGAAAGGAGGAGAGAGGGAGGGAGGGAGGGAGATGATATCTCTCTCATTCTCTCTCCCTGTGTCATTTTCTCTCATCCTCCCTCTTATTTTCTCTCAAAATCTCTTATCTATCATTCTCTCGTTTCCTCGCTCTCATTCTCTGTCATTCTCTCCTCTCTCTCACTTTCTTATTTGTCATTCTCTCTCAATATCTCTCTTTCTCTCTTTCAATGTCAATGTCTTTTTATAATGATTTTTTAAATGTATTGTGAGCCGCCCTGAGTCTTCGGAGAGGGGCGGCATATAAATTTAATTAATTAAATTAAATTAAATTAAATTCTCATTCTCTCTCCCCCTTCCTCTCTCATTCTCTCTCATTCTCTCTCATTCTCTCCCTCTCCTCTCTTTCTCTCATTCTCTCATTCTTTCTCTCATTCTCTCCCTCTTCCCTCTCTCTTTAATTCTCTCATTTCTCATTCTTTCTCATTATCTCCCTCTTCCTCTCTCTCATTCTCTCATTCTCATCTCTCCTCTTCTCTCTCATTCTCTCTCTTCTTTCTCTAATACTCTCTCTCTTCTCTATCTTCTTCTCTTCTCTCTTCTCTTTCTTTCTCATTCTCTCCCTCTTCTCTCTCTTCTAATTCTTTCATTCTCTCATTCTTTCTCATCTCTCTCTTCCTCTCTCATTCTCTCTCCCTCTTCCTCTCTCATTTCTCTCAATCTCTCTCTCATTCTCTCTCCCTCTTCCTCTCTCATTCTTAATTCTCTTTTTCTCATTCTTTCTCATTATTCCTCTTCTCTCTCATCTCTCTCTCTCGTTCTTTCTCATTCTCTCCTCTTCCTCTCTCATTCTCTCTCATTCTCTCTTCTCTCTCATTCTTTCTCTCATTCTTCATTCTCTCTCCCTCTTCCTCTCTCTTCTCTCATTTTCTCATTCTTTCTCATCTCCCTCTTCTCCTCTCTCATCTTCTCTCATTCTTTCCATTCTCTCTCTCTCTCTCTCTGCCCTTCTCTCTCATTCTCATTCTCATTCTCTCATTCTTTCTCATTCTCTCCCTCTTCCTCTCTCCCTCTCTCTCGTTCTTTCTCATTCTCTCCCTCTCCCTCTCTCATTCTCTCTTCATTCTCTCATTCTCTCCTCTTTTCTCATTCTCTCCCTCTTCCTCTCTCATTCTCTCTCATTCTTTCTCTCATTCTCATTCTCTCTCCCTCTCCCTCTTCCTCTCTCATTCTCTCTCATTCTTTCTCTCATTC